TTTAGAAGTGTTGTTTAGGGGCGCCTGAGTGACTCAGTCGGTTAAGCATCCGACTTTGGCTCAGGTCATGATCTCGCGGTTTGTGAGTTCAAGCCCCACCTTGGACTCTGTGCTGACAGCTCGGAGCCTGGAACCTGCTTTAGATTCTGTATCTCCCCCTCTCTCTCTCTCTGCCCCTCCCTGGTTCTAGCTCTCTCTCCCTCTCTCAAGAAATGAATAAACATTAAAAAAAATTAAGAAGAAATGTTGTTTAATTACCAAGTATATTGGAAGTGTTCCAACTCTCTTTCTGTTATTGATTTCTAGTTTAATTCCATCGTCATCTGAGAACATACTTTTTATGGTTTCTATTCTTTTTAATTTGTTAAGGTGTGTTTTTACACCCAGGATGTGATTGGTATGTCTTGGTGAAATGTTCTGTTAGCTTGAGAAGAATGTGTATTCTGTTGTTGAATAAAGTGTTCTGTAAATGCCAAATTAGATCCGGTTGATTGATGGTGCTGTTCAGTTCAACTATATTCTTACTGATATTTTGCCAATCTGCAAGATCTCTGGGTCATTTCAGTTATTGACAGAGGGGTATTGAAATCTCCAGCTTATATAGTGGATTCCTCTGTTTCTCTGTACAGTTCTATCAGTTTTTGCATCGTGTATTTTGATGCTCTATTGTTAGACACAAACACGTTGAGGATTATTATGTCTGCTGGGAGAATTGACCCCTTTATCACTGTGTGATGCTCCTTTTTATCCCTTATATTTTTATTTGGTATGAAGTCTGTTTTGTGTGAAATTAATGTAGCTACTCCAGCTTTCTTTTGATTTGTGTTAGCATGGTATATCTCTCTCTATCCATTTACCTTTAATCAATCTGTGTCTTTATATTTAAAGTCGACTTCTTATGGACAACATATACTTGTGTACTGTTTGTCATTCACTCTTACAGTCTCTGATTTTTATTGGTGTATTCAGACCATGGACATTTAAAGTTATTACTGATATAGTTGGATATCAATATAGTTGGATAATATCTACCATATTTGTTACTGTTTTCTACTCATTGCCCTTGTTTGTTCTTTCTTTCTTTCTTTCTTTCTTTCTTTCTTTCTTTCTTTCTTTCTTTCTTTCTTTCCTTCTACTCTTTTTTTGCCTTCTCTGGTTTTAAGTGAGTATGTTATATGATTGCAGTTTTTCTCCTCTCTTAGAATACCAGGTGAACTATTTTTACTTTTGTAAGTAGCTGCCCTTGAGTTTGCAGTCACACTGATCAATAATCAAAGGCTGGTGTCAAATAGCTCTATACCACTACATGGGTAAGGCAAGGTCCTTGTAAGAGAGTGTTTCCAATCCCTCCCTCCTGTCCTCTACAACATTGCTGGCATTCATTTCAATTACTCATACACTGTAATCACTATATATAGTGCTACTACTGTGATTTGAGCAAACTGTTATATGTTAGATCAGTTAATATTAAGAAAAATAAAATATTTTATCAGCATATAATCCTTTTCAAATGCTCTTTCTTTTTTTTATGTAGACCTGAACTTATAAGTTGTATCATTTTCCTCCTTTCTGAAGAAGTTCTTTTAACATTTCTTGCAAGGCAGGTCTGCTGAAGACAAATTTCCCCAATTTTTATTTATCTGAGAAAGTTTTTATTTTCCCCCTCACCTTTGAAGGTTAATTTGCCTGAATATACAATTCTAGGTTGGTGGGGTTTTTTTCCTTTTAATACTTTAAATATTTCATTCCATTGTCTTCTTGCTTACATGGTTTCTGAAGAGTAGTCCAATATAATTCTTATCTTCTCTGTAAGTAAGGTTGCTTTTTTTTAAAAATTCTGATTTCCTTGAAGATTTTCTGTTTGTCTTTGATTTTCTGCACTTTGAATGTGATATGCATAGGTGTAGATTTTTTTGTTATTTTATCCTTCTTGATGTTCTCTGAGCTCCCCTATACCTTTCTCTATAGGTATAGACTTTCTGCACTTTGAATATACTATGCATAGATATAGATTTTTTAAAATTCTTTTTTTTTTTTTTTAACGTTTATTTATTTTTTGGGGACAGAGAGAGACAGAGCATGAACGGGGGAGGGGCAGAGAGAGAGGGAGACACAGAATCAGAAACAGGCTCCAGGCTCTGAGCCATCAGCCCAGAGCCCGACGCGGGGCTCGAACTCATGGACCGCGAGATCGTGACCTGGCTGAAGTCGGAGGCTTAACCGACTGCGCCACCCAGGCGCCCCTAAAATTCTTTTTTAACATTTATTTATTTTTGAGAGACAGAGAGAGACAAGAGTGTGAGGGGAAGAGAGAGAGGGAGACACAGAATCCAAAGCAGGTTCCTGGCTTTGAGCACAGAGCCTGACACAGGGCCTAAACTCATGAACTATGAGATCATGACCCGAGCCGAAGTCAGACGCTTAACTGACTGAGCCACCCAGGCACCCCGATTTTGTTGTTGTTGTTGTTATTGTTTATTTTATCCTGCTTGATGTTCTCTGAGCTTCCTGGATCTGTGTTTGGTGACTATCATGTTGGAAAATTCTAGGTCATTATTCCTTCAAATATTTTCCCTTTTGTCACCTTTTATAATTGTCCCGCATTTCTTGGATCTTCTCTTCTGTCTTTTTCATTCTTTGTTCTCTTTGTATTTACTTTTGGGAAGTTTCTATTGGCAGTTCTTTAAGCTCACTGATTCTTTTCTTGGTTGTGACCAGTCTATTATTAATGAGCCCATCAAAGGCATTTGTCATTTCCATTACAGTGTTTTTGATTTCCAGCACTTTTATTCTTTCTTAGAGTTTCCATGTCTGCTTATATTGCCCATCTGTTCCTGCATGTGGTCTACTTTTCCCATCAGACCCTTTAACACTTAACGTATCAATCATAATTATTTTAAACTCCCAATCTCATAATTCCAATATCACTGCCATATTCAAGTCTTGTTCTGAGCTTGCTTAGTCTCCTGAAACTGCGCTGTCTTTTCATGTGCTTTCTAATTTTTTGTTGAATACTGGACATGATATAGTAGAAGGAACTGAGGGAATAGTTTTTTAGTGTGAGATATTATGCTTTTCTTGGTAGGAGTTGGGCTGTGTTTACTGTTTTGTGTTATTATAGGTGTCAGAGGCTAAAATTTCCTCTAGTGTCCTGGTTTATGTCTCCCCTGTTATCTTTGGGCTTCCCTTGAGAATTCTTCTTAAATATAGTCTGAGATGTGTAATCTTACTGTATTCCTTTGTTATTTTACAGACACCCTTTTGATGTGGTGGTTAGATGTGGGAGCAAGGGAGGCATTTTATAGTCGTATGGTTAGGTTTCCATCTTTTAATGAGTCTGTGCCCCTTAGCTTTGACCTTCACAAGTGCTTCTCAGTCATCCTCTCATCTTTTTTTTTTTTTTTCAATTTATATATTTTGAGAGAGAGAGAGAGAGTATGCGTGGGGGTAGGGGCAGAGAGAGAGAGGGAGAGAGAATCCCAAGCAGGCTCTGAACTGTCAGCATGGAGCCCGAGGTGAGCCTTCAACTCACGAACTATGAGATAATGACATGAGCTGAAATCAAGAGTTACATGGTTAACCAACTGAGCCACCCAAGTGGCCTCACCCTCTCATCTAACGTGCAGTGAGAAGGCTTGAGTGAGCTGGAGTTGGGTATTTCCCTTCCCTCAGGTCACGTAGGTTCTGAAAAGCCCTAGCTGTTTAGGTTCTGGTAAAATAGTTTCTCTCGAGGCAGGCCTTTCTAAGAATAGAATGCTTTGGGCATATTTCAGGGTAGCTATTTCTTCTCTCCTACTAGAGAAGATTGAGGGGATTTGTCTCTAGTCTTTACTGTAAGAACCTGGTAGTGTCCTAAAGATAAAACTCACAAAACTGTGACTGGGTCCTTCTGGGTCCTTTAGACTGCGTCCTTCTGGCATTTTTAACTCTCAAACTTGTCCACCCTGAGCTTCTGGCATTTCACCAATCGCACTTGACCTTTCCCTCTCCTGGTACTGGTTTCCCTGGAAGTTTCTGCTCAGGTAGGTTGTGATTCTCAGAGACTGGTCTGTCTCTCAAATTTCGTGGATGGAAGTTTTCCCTGTGACCTCAGTTCTCTGACGGATTTCAGAAGAGTGGTTGATTTCTTGGTTTGTTCAGCTTTTCTCTTGTTGTAAAGATGAGAATGATGTCTTCCAAGCTCATTATATGCCAGACCAAAAATTGCAAGTCTGCAATGTTTTTTTAATTATAGCTTTCGAGCTCAGATTTGGTTTTTGGGTTTTTTTCTGAATAAAATAATTGAAATAGAATTTGCATATATTGCTTAATATGTTTTTTTTTATTATACTGGTAATGAAGATTAAGGTAAATATTGTACCATCAGTGCATTGATTTTTTTTGTGACATTTTTTTCAGAGAGTGAGACGCCACTCAATAGCTATTCTAATTGTTATTTATCTGTAATCATTTGTATTATTCCTCACCAGGCTAAGGAAGCTCTCTTAAAGAACTCTCTGCCAAACTATGTCACTCATAATTTCCCTCCATCTGGCTACCAATTCATGGATAACTATTCCAACTTTCCATGCCTTTCTGTCTCAGAGTCCTGTTATCTATTTAATCACTCTGGGGTTCAAGAAGTTATTAGCATTTGAGCATGAATAATAATATATCTTATTTTTCAGCAGTCTACCTTACTCTTAAAAGTCTTTTAGATAAGCCCTTTAATTAAAGCCTTTCTTAAGCCTACAAAAAAATTGTCAGAAATCACACATTTCTGTGATACGGCCATTAGCAGACCCTCTACTGTATTCCCTAGCCTCTTGTTTTGTTTGTTTGTTTGTTTGTTTGTTAGCTAGTGTTTGAGTTGCTTTATTTCTCTAAATATAATAATTCAGAAAATGGATAGAGAGCATAAGTTTTCCATGCTTTATAGCATGTTGGATCATTTAGTAAACAGCAATTAACAGTGCTTAAAAATGCTTAATGCATTTGCTATTTGTTTCTGCTTTTTACAGGAGGAACTCTCTGGAATGAAAAACAGGGTACAAGTAGTTGTGCTTGAAAATGAAAGTCTCCAACAAGAGCTGAAATCTCAAAGACAAGAGGAAGCAATGAGGGAACAAACACTTCTGGATGCATCTGTGAGCATTGTTTTTAAACCATAAATTATATTTTAGTTTGAACGTTCCTTCCTACCCTCCCCGACCAGCCTCTGAACTTGTGAAATCCTCCGCTTGAAATTTGGCACATGTACTCTGCTGTTGCTCGCTTGGGCCTCAAAAATTAAGATTCGCCGTGGTGGGACGAATCCTCAAATGAAATGATGTAGCAATGCCTCATATCCACACTGGTTTCCTCCCTGAGCACACCGTTGATGTTTTTTCCATATGGAAACAGCAGGGTGAAGCAGGAAGTGCATTACATAGGAGGCACTCTGTTAAATCCAGAAACTGTATAACTGGAGCTTGGATTTCTGTTGTATTTCCCTAAGGGTTCCAATCGTGCTCTGAATTCTGATCAGTCTGATTGGCAGAATGGAGGAGCAGAAGGAACCCTGGCCCGAGGGTCCAGGGATCAGCATGTTAGTCTTCCCATTTTCCCTAACAAGCGGGTTAGTGAGTGATTTTACAGGGTTTTCCAACATGGCTTAACCTCATGTTCCTCTGTCTATTGGCAAATGGAGGGGATTCAGCTATATTAGCAGTTCTTAATCTTTCACGTGAGTGACAATCACTTGAGATATTTGTTGACCGTGCAGATTCCTGAGTGCCATCCCCTGAGAGTCTGATGCAGTCGGTCTGGGTTGAGACCTTGAGTCACAAAGATGAATGTGCCATATTTTGCAGAACAGTGGATTCGAGGATCTCTATAATTCTAGGACACAAAATTCTTGTGATGATACTTAAGTAGTGTTTAAACTCAGTATCTCCTTATGACTTTTCAGAGGTACTGTCACCTTAAAATGTTTACTTACGCTTTTGCTGTAGGACACAGTTAATCACAGCTTGTTCTGCTTTTTGAAACAAAGTCAGGGTTCCATGGGGAAGTTTTAATACTTGCCTGCTGCAGCTTTACAGTGGATTTTGGCTTAGTCATCATTAGCAAATCCGTCCTGTTAAGAAAAAGACATGCGTGTCTTAATGTTTTACCTAGGTGTCCTCTAATTTTTGACCTTGAAGTTTTTTAAATTTTCCTGACCTGATGTTTCATTTGTAATCCTTGAGGTCTGTGTTAGAATTTACTATTTAGAGGCAGCTGATTGTGTTAAATCTGAATGACAAAGTGGGCTGATCAGTGTTTCAGGTTATTTTTCTGCAGTACATTTCAGTTTGCGGTCAGCTGTTTTCCCTTCCCTGGAAGGCTTTTTCTTAATATTTATATTATTATGTTATATTATTTATTATCAATATTAGTACTTAAAAGTTCCATCTTAATTGCTTATTCAATGTCAATTTAAGGTGATATAGCCATATAAAAAGTACTTAGAATTCAGTCATTTTAAAAAATTAGTACATTCTTTTGGTTTTCTTCCCAATATGCAGTCACTTAGCAAACATCTACTTGATTATTCATAGTCTTCAGTATTTATACAGTGGCAAGGAAGTGGAAGAAGGGGGAAGTGAAGTGAGAAAGGAAATCGGGCAGACAAGTGAAGCAGAGGGCAGAGAAGGGAGTAACACCAAAGGGGAAGGAGACAATGGTCAAAGTGCAACATGCTTTGCTACATGAACAAAGGAAACTAGATGAAGTCAATTGCAGCCTTAATTATGGAAAAAACACAGCTGTCGAGAGTTATGGTTTAACATTCACATGAACTAAAATATAATGCAGACGATCAAAATTATTGTTGCAGATATGTCAGGAGACCTTGATGTCTGTTTTAACGTTGGTCGTCATACTTTATGAATATAAATTCACCCATGCCACTGCTTTTTTTTTTTTTTTTTTTTTTTAAGAGAGAGAGGGCTCAGGCTGGGGAGAGGGAGCCATGAAGAGAAGAGAAAAGATAAGACAGAAGGAAAGTCAAGTAGGCTCCACACTGGTCTGAAACCTCACACATGTTAAAAGCACCGATCTAACCCTGGAGGATCAAGTCCCTATGAGCCAAAATCAAGAGTCAGATTTTCAACCAACTCAACCAACCAGGCACCCCTACTGCTACTCACACTGCTTTTTTTTGCTTGCATGCTGGGTGAAATGAGATTTCTTAACATAAGCATGGTGCTATAATTCAGAGGGGTTTTTAAATTTAAATTCAAGTTAGTTAACATGTAGTGTAGTATTGGTTTCAGGAGTAGAATTTAGCGATTGATCATTTACATATAACACCTGTTATGCCCAGAAAGACCACTAGGGAGCCGAGTCAGATGCAAAAGCAAAAGACCCTTTATTCGAGCTAGCTCGAGCTCAATCCCCTACCTGCACCGACGCAGCGGTGAGATACCGGGGAGAGAGAGCGAGTTTCAAAAGGACAAAGGTTTTATAGGGGTCTAGGGGCAGTTGGTGAGGTAATGGCTGTGGCCTCAGCTGATTGGCTGGGGAAGGGTCGGAGTCCTGTTACGAAGGTCACTGGGCATGTTTTGATCAGGAAGTTTGAATGGGTGAGCGGGAGGTTACTCAAGGGGAGGAGGCTGGTCTAGGTGAAGGACACAGAACAAGATGGAGTCAGCTGGCGTAGGCCTGCCCTTTCAACACCCAGTCCTCATCCCAGCAAGTGCCCTCGTTAATGCCCGTCACCCATTTGTTCCATCCTGCCACCTACCTCCCCTCCAGCAACCCTCAGTTTGTTCTCTGTATTTAACAGTTTCTTATGGTTGGGTGCCTGGGTGACTCAGTCAGTTAAGTGTCCAACTCTTGGTTTCAGCTCAGGTCATGAACTCATGGTTTGTGGGATTGAGTCCCATGTCAGGCCCATGCTGACAGCACAGAGCCTGCTTGGGATTCTCTCTCTCCCTCTCTCTCTGCCCCTCCCCAATTCATGCTCTCTCTCTCTCTCTCTCTCTCAAAATAAATAAACTTAAAAAAAAAGATTCTTATGGTTTGCCTCCCTCTCTGGTTTTATCTTATTTTACCTTCCCTTCCCTTATGTTCATCTGTTGTGTTTCTTAAATCCACCGATGAGTGAAATCATGTGATATTTGTCTTTGTCTGACTTATCTCTCTTAGCATAATACACTCTAGATCCATCTACATTGTTGCAAATAGCAAGATTTCATTCTTTTTGATTGCAGAGTAATATTCCATTGTATATATACACAACATCTTCTTTATCCATTCATGAGTCAATGGGCTTTTGGACTCTCAATAATTTGGCTGTTGTTGATAGTGCTGCTATAAACGTTGGGTTGCATGTGCCCCTTCAAATCAGCATTTTTGTATTCATTGGATAGATATGTAGTAGTGTAATTGCTGGGTCATAGGATAGTTCTAGTTTTAATTTTTTGAGGCAACTCTGCACTGTTTTCCAGAGTGGCTGCACCAGTTTGCATTCCCACCAGCAGTGCAAAAGAGATTCTCTTTCTCCGCATCCTTGCCAACATCTGTTGTTGCCTGGGTTGTTAATGTTAGCCATTCTGACAGGTGTCAGGTGGTAGCTCTTTGTGGTTTTGATCTGTATTTCCCTGATGATGAATGACGTTGAGCATCTTTTCATGTGTCTGTGAGCCATCTAGATGTCTTCTTTGGAGAGGTATCTATTCATGTCTTTTGCCCATTTCTTCACTGGATTACTATTAATTTTTTTTTTTTTTTTTTTGGGTGTTGAGTTTGATAAGTTCTTTATAGATTTTGGATACCAACCCTTTATCTGATATGTCATTTGCAAATATGTTGTCCCATTTCACAGGCTGCCTTTTAGTTTTGTTGATTGTTTCCTTTGCTCTATAGAACCTTTCTGTCTTGATGAGGTCCTAATAGTTCATTTTTGTTTTTGTGTCCCTTGCCTCTGGAGATGTGTCTAGTGAGAAGTTGCTGCAGCTGAGGTCAGAGAAGTAGCTGCCTGTTTTCTCCTCTAGGACTTCGATGGCTTCCCGTCTTGCATTTAGGTCTTTCATCCATTTTGAGTTTAGTTTTGCATATCGTATAAGAAAGTGGTCTAGGTTTCATCTGCATGTAACTGTCCAGTTTTCCCATTTGCTGATGAAACTGTCTTTTTTCCATTGGATACTCTTTCCTGCTTTGCCAAAGATTAGGTGGCCATACATCTGTGGGTCCATTTCTGGGTTCTCTATTCTGTTCCATTGACCTAAGTGTCTGTTTTTGTGCCAGTACCATACTTTCTTGATGATTACAGCTTTGTAGTACATCTTGAAGTCTGGAATTAGTTTTCATTTTCAGGATTGCTTTGGCTATTTGGGGTCTTTTCTGGTTCCATACAAATTTTAGAATTGTGTTCTAGCTCTGTGAAGAATGCTGATGTTATTTTGATATGGATTGCATTGAATGTGTAGAATGCTTTGGGTAATAGAGACATTTTTGTTCTCCTAATCCATAAGCATGGAATGTTTTTCCATTTCTTTGTGTCTTCTTCAATTTCTTTAAGAAACGTTCCATAGTTTTCAGCATTCAGATATTCACTTCTTTGGTTAGGTTTATTCCTAAGTATCTAATAGGTTTTGGTGCAATTGTAAATGAGATCAATTCCTTGATTTCTCTTTCTGCTGCTTCATTATTGGTATATAGAAATGCAACAGATTTCTCAAAGTTGATTTTATATCCTGAGACTGTGCTGAATTCGTATGTCAGTTCTAGTAGATTTTTGGTGGAGTTTTTCAGGTTTTCCATGTAGAGTGTCATCTGTAAAGTGAAAGTTTGATTACTTCCTTGCCAGTCTGTATGCCTTTTATTTTTTGTTGTTGTTATCTGATTGCTGAGGCTAGGGCTTCCAGTATTATGTTGAAAAACAGTGGTGAGAGTGGACATCCCTGTCTTATTCCTGACCTTAGGGGGAAAGCTCTCAGTTTTTCCCCATTGAAGATGATATTAGCTATAGGTATTTTGTATATGCACTTTATGATGCTGAGGTATGCTCCTTCTCTCCCTACTTTCTTGAGGGTTTTTATCAAGAAAGGATGCTGTATTTTGTCAAATGCTTTTTCTGCATGTATTGAGAGGATCATGTGGTTCTTATCCTTTCTTTTAT